AGGCTGAAGGAGGTCCGAGGGCAATTGAAGCCATGCTGAGCAAAGGTCGTGGGAGGCTGACAGCAGTCAAAATGAAAACGGCTGCAGAAAGATAGGTCGGAAATCAACATCCAAAGATCGCGAAAGCTCAAAACCGAGAAGCAACTGTACAAAGTGGTTACGTGCAGGAAAAATGAACGGAATTCAAAGTGCATAACAGTGCTGCAGTGCATGGACTTGTTTGCTGATGGCGCGCCGAAGAGAGCTGGGTGAAACTGAAACTATACAAAATAGCTACCGATGTCAGCCGCTGCGAGTTCCGGATGACTGTCCTCACTGGTGATTTCTGGTACGGCATCAGGTGTGACTGGGGCAGCCGGTGCAGGCGATGGAGGTGGTGTGGGTGTGTAGGAGAAGTCTGGGGCTGAAAGTGATGCCGGTGGTGGAAGCGCTGATGCCGAGAGAGGCATCTGGGCCGGTGAGGCCGGTGGTGTGTTGGCAGGTGAAGTGGGTGTAGGTGACGGTGGTGGGTGGACTGCCTCGTGTTGGTGTGGGGGTGCTTGGAGTTCTTCCCAACGTGCTTTGCACTGCTCAATGGAAAAACCTACTCGACGGGCAACGTAGTTCCAGTTCGGGTGGAGACGAGTATCAGTTTTGAGCTCAACAAGGCGGATATCTGCATCAGCGTCCCAAGCATCCCAATCTGCATCTTCGTTGAGGGGTGGTGGAGGCTGACGTTTGCGCTTGGGTTGTGGCTGTAGTGGCGATGAAGAAGAAGCCGAGGATGCTTGGGAAGGAGGAGGTTCCTGTGGTGCATGTTTGATGGGAGCAGCAGGCGCCGAGTCGCACGAAGAGGTGGGGGAGGGAATGGGGACGGCTGTGATGGGAGCTGGTGAGAGAGTCTGAAAAGGTCGGTGAAAATGAGGGTCGACCTGTTGTGTATGGACGAGATAAAAACTGTGCAAGTTGGACAGGATGTCCGTTGCTTGCTGGAGCAATCGATAAAGCTGACTGAGGGCGATAGTGGTTCGATGGAGAAGTCGAACCTGGTCTGCATGAGATGGCATCTGGAGAGGCCTTGTCAAGATAGCAAAAGCAGCAAACTTGAGCGTCGATCGGCGCAGCTATGGTGTCAACGCTGCATGTCGGCAGGAAAATAACATGCGGAACGTGCAAATGAATTACGAAAATGAATTATTGAGCATGAATTTTGCAGATTATGCATAAACGTGAATGGAATCTGAAAAACTGCATCAGTGGAAAGTGGAGTCTCAAACGGAAAACTGCATCGGTGGGAAGAGAAGAGCACATTACTTACAAAAACGCTCAAAGCCTATGGCCTTTGATCTGACAAGTCTAGAAAAATCCAAGTGAGCATGAGAGGTCCATCATGAAAGCTGAAAAATCAAGTTCGAAAAGAAATCGAGTAAAAGTTATCACAGGTTGACGTTGTAAAGCTCTGAAAGTTGTCCTGCAGGTAAAACATCAGGGCGCGGCTTTTTCAAAGCCGGAGGTGGTGACGAGGTGAAACGTGGGGACAGGCTGCTCTCAGGCGTTGGGTTGTGGCATGGAGTTGAAGGTGGAGATGGAGCTGGCAGTGTGTTGTGGGACTTCAAAGGTCTGGAGGAATGGCATTGATAGACCATGCCAAGCCCTTGACTATGGCATTATTTGGGTGAATCACCCAGCAGCGGGCTTTGGAATGGCAAACAGCACCATGATCTTGTTGCAAAAGATGCATGGCTTGGGCTTCACCTCCGCTGGTGAACTTAGTCCCACGGCCCCAAGCAAGGATATGGACCATGATGGAATGGACGTTTTTTGCCATCTTCCATGTGTTGTGTAAAATGCGGGCTTGTTCGTAGTTGTCGTGAATGTGTTGGTGGGTAATGCGTGTGGCTTGAGCAAAAAAGCCTGGGTTGTCTTCGAAGTGAAGGGTACTGGGGAGGAGACGACCCTGTTGTAAAATGGCAGCAATATTGCCATAAGGGCCAGTGTGGCATGCGTTGATGTGAACTGTTTCAGGGGCAGTAGAAGTGGCCCGAGTGGCGGGTGGTGGCAGTGGACGAGTAGCTTTGTCAACGAGGCTCGGGAGGTTGATACAGTGATAGGAGAAAGTGTCGTAGGCATTGGTGGTGTCATTCCATTTCACATGGGTGAGTTGGCGGAAGTCTGCCAAATCATCGAACTCGAAGCCGTTGTCCGCAAGAAGCTTGGCGATATAGAGATGTTGTGGTCTGTTCTCTGCGGCAAACTGAGCTGCATGGAAGTCTAGCCACCATGCTATCTGTTCTTGCTGTGACAGTTGTTGAAAATGTGGAGGAGGTGCCTTCCAAGGTGGGTGGGGGCGTCGTAGCGCCGGAAAGTTGGGGTATTCTGCTTGGGACATGTTGTGGAGCTGACTGTGAGATGTAGACTGTTGATTGGGGCGGAAAGTGATAGGTGGATGGGAATTGTTGGCTGAAGACGTGGTAGATGTAGTGGAGGGAGAGCGGCGACGTCGGCGGCGTGCCGAGGATGCCTTGGCGGTGGAAGTCGCAGGGGAACGTTGGCGTCTGTCGCGTGTGTGGCGACTGCGTTGGCGGCGACGCCGTTTGCTACGGCTTCGGCCACGATGGCTGCGGCCAGTGGTGGTAGGAGGCGGTGCTGCTGTGAGAGGTCGTGAGGAGGGCGGCTTGGGAGGCGGTGCGGTTGGGTTTGTGGATGGTGCCGGAGATGCTGGTGGTGGTGGCGGTGTTGGCTTGGCGGTGGTTGGTGGTGGAGTCGTGGAAGTGGTGGCAGTGGTAGTTGGTAAGGATGTCCCTGGAGTGGTGGCGACTGATGGTGGGACATCGGAAGCACCGGGAGGGGCGTTGGGAACGCCAGAAGGTAGTTGTGTAGGTGGTGGAGTGGCCGAAGCAGTTGTGTTCGGATCCGGTGCGGAAGCTGGCAATGGGTGAGCAACTGGTGGAAAGGCCGAGAAAGGTTGCCAAACACCTTGAGATTGGTCCCAATGGATGGGGACCTGTTGGATTGGCGGCTGTGTTGGTGATGCTGGAGGAACGGGTACAACGGTTGGTGGTGCATGGGGTATAGTGTGTGGAGGAGGTTGCGTTGGCAGGGTCTCGAATGCCTGCATCTGTGGAGCCGTTGGGTGAACCGGTGTGGGAGCCACGAAGGTTGGTATTGGTGGAGAGTGGGCTGGCATGGGATGTGGCCACGCGTGTGGTGGCTGTTGCTGCGGAGTGGGCTGAAAATGAGGTAGAAGAGCCTGTTGTGGTGGATGGGAGATAACTGTAGGAACAGGCGCCGTTGGTGGAGGGTGGTGCCATGGCGGTGGTTGAGCGGTGATGGCGGGTATGGAGGGCGCGGTACAGGGCTGTGGCCAATGCGGATAAGGCCAAGGGTACTGCATGTGGAGAGGGCCGTCCGAGTGGCTGCGAGAAAATGGCGCCGGCGCGGCACAGCAGCTGAAACAGTAAGTTTGAAGATGGCAGTGAAGTCAGGAAATCCGTATGCGTGCAGTGAAGGATTAAAAACTTGAAAAATGAAAATTGATGAATTGGCGTGCATTGTAATCTCCGAAATGTGAGCATGCATGCATTGATCGTCGGTCAAATGGCTGCGGGTGGGAAATTAAATTGAAGTTGGAGAAAAAACGTCGCAACGCACAACACAAACGAATGTCGGAGCGTTGAGGGGATAATTCCTCGCTTATAGCCCGGCGGCTCGAAAATCAGGGAATTCAGAAATAAAGTGAAGGAACAAAAAGTCAGTTATAAACAAGCAGGATCGATGAAATCTGGAATGGCGTCTGCGCCCCACTGAAGGGGATCACACCCAGTACCCGAGTGGGAAGACTGAGCGAGTCACACTTCGAACTTGGGTTTTCAGTTAACGCAATTGCCACGTTGGGAAGGAAGGCGATAGATCAGCATGGCGAAAAGTCCGAAAATTTGTAGGTGTTTGAACATCGATTGTTTCACTTGACTCAGCTGCACACCGGCGGTGGTGAACTAACGGCTCAAATCAGCTGCAAAACCGAGGTTTTGGGGGTGGAAACATGAAGGACCATGAATCAAAAAGTGGAAAAGTGGAGTAACAGCTTGTGTAAGAACGAGCAGGTACACGGAAGTGATCAGCTTCCGCTTCCTAGGATCTTGCAAAGAGCTTCGTTGGGCAGAGCCTTGCAAGTCCTTGTTGCAAAAGAAGAACGGTCTCAGTGGCAGAATCGTCCGCAGCACCAAGCGGCACTACGAGTACAGCTCCACTACACACAAACTTCTGTCCGATATGCTCACAAACTCCTTTCCATCAAAATCTCTCAAACCTCATCGTTGGACCTGTGACCTTAACTTCGCTATGCAAAACAACTTTTGGCGGCACACTGGGGACGACGTGCTCTCTACAGTCTACAGTGAGCTGGTGTGGCTGGTTGATCGCCGAAGAATCCGGCTCAATTTCATGGTCATTGCTCCCTGCATCAGGCCAAGGATTCTGAATGGTTTACCTTCATTCGTGCGCCTGAATGGTTTACCGTCTCTGCCTCTCACGCCGATGAGTCCTGCAATGGCGTGGAGTTCCTCTGAATCCTTCCCTCATGGCCGCCTTGCTTCAAAGATGTTTTCAGTCTGTGTCGCCATAGAGTGGCCCGTTCAAGCAGTCAACCAAAGGGCAGCTGGACAAGTATCGGAGTCGCCCTCCCGAAGGACTTTGGCAGACCATGGAGCTGAAGAGTTCAAGCCCAAATCAACAGCTTTGCAGGCAGTTTCAAATGGATCTTGGAAGGCAACTTGCCAATGGGCTCACGAAGATGTCCATCGGCAAACTTGTGGTGGAGCGTCCCAAATGTGGGCTGATCAAATGTAGGTGAGATCCCACATGGTCAGTTCACATCCAACACCACGAACAACAGCTCCACCAAACAGCATCATCGTAACAACAAACCCCGTTTTCGCACAAAGCTGAGAAATTTCACATAAGACTCCATGGCAAGCACAAGAAAACGGAAGACGTTCCATTGTACTCAAAGGATCTCAAAGGTGAGATATGGAAGACGAGAATTGAAGACAAGCTCGTCTTAGTTGTCAGCCGTCAGCTCCCGCCTAGATACCCCTGCACTTTCGCAGTTGCCCAGCTTGAAGCAGCTGAGAAAATGGGACCATCTCCAATGACGATGGTGTCTGCATGTCCGCCTAGATGCACAAGTTTCATTACAATCGCAATGCACTCTGTCAAGGCAAAAAAGAGCCATAAAGCCCAAGCATGGAAAAGTAAGTCTGTCAAGTTCTGAGTAAAAAACGTTCCACAGTCTTGGGCGCTCAGTCTTCACTGGGTTTGCAACCAAAGTGGCTGTCCATCGTAGAAAGCTCCACTGGTATCAAAACCTCTTGAAAGGAAAAGTCCTGAAGCAGCACTCACGCCGCAAACGATGTTTTACCTCAAAATCTAGGAACAGTTTCTACTAGTAGCTGGGTTCCTTCCTTACTGAAGTAAGGCCTTACTACTTACTTCCTTCAGTAAGTACGCCCTAAAACTAAGGGTCTTCTCTACTTCAGGCAAACAAAACTTCATGTTTGTTGACCATGTTCATAAACGTTGTAGGGTCAGCTGGGGATCGAATTACCAAGGACAATTATCACATCGTTTATAAAACAGTCCCAGGTCTCCCAGTTTAGGATTCTGTACTGATTCTGAGTTTCAAGAAGCGCAACTTTGTCTAGCTAGTGTATTCGGTCCTGCATCCACATGTGATACGCCTGCAGCATCCGTCTGGCATATTTGGCTCTCGGCGGGGGGGCCGACACCTCAGCTTCCTCCACCAAAGCCTGAGCGTCAGAAAATCGCAAAAACTCTAGCGGTCCTTTTAAACCAGAAGGCCTCTACCTCATCGTAGGCTTCACTACTTCTTGGACTAGTAATTCACTAAGTAGTCACAAGAACCTGCCTTCAAACAAGAACGCCTTCGAACTAGCTACTCGACTCACAACACGTCTCTAGGATGAGACCCTCTGAGATGCTCTGAGGTTCTGACATGCCCATTGGTGCCGCTGAAGCCGAAAGAGGACACGGAGGATATCTTCTTCTCCCTTCGCCAAGCAAGGAGCTCCGTTGGCATCGCTGCAGAAAACCCAGAGAGCTCAATATTGTTGTTGAGCCTCCGAGACAAGTCGCTTGCTCGCAATCACCCGCTTGGACGTCGCCCTGATCTGTTCTCGGATGACTGAGGAATCAGCTGGCGCAGCCACAACAATGCTGGCACCTGCGCCCGCTGGCATGAAAGGACCTCAAGGCTTCCAAACACAAGCTGACAGTCTTGTGGTGTTTTGCTGGGATTCGAGCTGCTTTGCTGATCCCGGCAACGCCTGCCGCACCTCAAGCTGCCAAAATACCCTAAGAATATTCGACAAAATATGCCGAACAAGATCTCAAGCTGCCAAATTAGCTGCCCTGCCCACCTTCAAGGTGGCCAAGATTTGTCTTCCCGGCTGCTAGCAGGAACGAGCCACGGCTCTTGCCATACACTGCACTCTGTCCTCCCACCTGAAAGTCGTCGCATGGTTATGGCACATGGCCAAAGGAAGGAGTTACCTGGCCTCAATGGGATCCCCCAAGGCGGTGCCAGTGCCATGGCACTCTAAACAGCTCACGGCCTTGCAGGTTGGAAACGAAGCACAATCCGCAAAGCCCTTGTGAGGCGTGAGCCCTGAAGATTTATGAATAATGGTCTTGGTGATCCTGGACGCTTACGCGCTGCTCCGCATGACATGAGGCATTACTGTTTAAATGTCCGCTCTACGACTTTTCTTTCCGCTCGTGTACTGTCCACATTACACTGTCCAATCTACAAAGGTCTTTGATGGATCGTGCGGAGAAAAGGTTTGGCTCCATCACAGCAACTGCGTTTTCCTGCTATTAATTATGGCATATTGAGTTGCCATCAACGAACATTGGAAGCCGGCTGAAGCAATGCGTTCTTCAACTTGTCTTAGCCTGTCTTCCACCTGCGGAGACATCGTATCCTTGCCTTAAACTTGCTGCCTACAGCGAACATGTGGTCCTTTATAAGGCCCAACTAGATGTTCAAGCGCCGTGGTGCTGCAATCGCTGACGCTGAGTTTCAATCGATTTCAGAAGTGACTTGAAGCCGCCTTGAAGCCGCACGCAGCAGGGAAAAATGTTGATGTTCTACATTGACATGGCTGCCAAGTGGCTTTGAACTGTAGTTGAAAGCCACGTCTCCTATTACTGTTTTATTCTAACAGTTTGCAAAAATCCAGAATCACCTCATAAATTTCAGAAATTTAGTGTTCAATCAATTTGATCATTTTGTGTACCCTCCCTGGAGCAGTCTTTCGAGCTCATTATACATTCATGTTGAGATCTGGAGAGCACTTTTTAGCGAGATTAAAATCCCATTGCGCTGAAGACCATTTCTGTCTCTCCTTCAATCTGGAAATCTTTACGGTAACCCAAGTCTGGAATGAACACCCACCTTCAAAGAGCTGGGTATAGGCACAGCAAATGATTTAGTGCGGCAAGGGAAATCCACAGACGAATGGATGGATGGATTTCTGACAAGGCGGATGGGCAACAGAACTTGCAATCACGATGGTTGCCATGGCTATCCGACCTATCCACTCATGCCTCAGCAAAGGACTCTGCAGATTGAAAGCTCGTCTGCGTGTGACCACAAAGCAAAAGCCCACTGGAGGTCCGGCGCGAGGGTCCGCCATGCTGAACACAATGGGTCCAGCCGTGCATGATGGTAGTAGATTCTCATCGCCAGCTTCTTGATCGGATTTGTGTGTGAACACCTTGGATTCCAAGGTCACCTTAAGGTGTTTTTTCCTTTCCATTTGTTTAGCAAGGGGGCACAGGCCCATCGTGGATAGCTGTGCCAACGAAGCTGTTCTACGATGGGGAAGCGGAGACTGATCGCCTCCGTACCTGCTGAAGGTTGTGGCGTTTGGTAACCATGTTCTCCTCTAGACTTCAGGCTGGTTATGTGGAGACAGGTCTGCAGACTCTGCGCGTTTCGTCGGTCACTCGATCGTCGAGTTGAAACTTGGAGACTTCAAGCTTTGAGATTCACCTGTTTAAGGTTTTGGAGGCTCTCATGCTCAGACCACCTTACATACCTACTTACCCTGGTCCCTTAGGTCCTAAGGTGTTTCACTTAGGCTGGCGGATGGCAAACCGCAATCTGTTCCGCACGCATTTCCCGAGTGTGTGTACTAGCTGTGCGAGATCTGCCTTCCTTGGATGGAGGAACACTTGGAAGTCATGCGGCATGCGCATGTTGCTTGAAGCTGTAAACGTCCTGTTTGTACCACAGAGTTCTACACGGGTTCCAAATGTTATATAACCCATCGTTTACCTCAAAAAAATAAAGCTAAATCCAAGCGTTGTGTTCTCTGCTGTCAGCCATGACCAACCCCCAAATAACAATTAGATTTGCAAAATTAATCAAAAAAGAAACAGAGAAGCACAATAAATAGAAGCACGTGAGATTTTCTTTGGTTCCCGTGGGATGCACAATCCTGGAATGTCAAGTCGGTCTACAACTCGTTTCTTCAATGCGAAGCAATGTCTACACCTTCCAATGCAAAGCATGAAGTGCATGGAATGATTCTATTCGGATACAGCTGGCCTTCGTCAGTGCCGATACGAGCATGAATTTTGTGACAGTGGTGGCTGTGCAACTTCCACTGACTTTTCTCTGTCTTTCTTTCCTTGTCGTCGTTCTTCTTTGTTCTTTCCTTCTACATGTTCTTTCTTTTCTTGTCTTTTCTCGTCCTTTCTCTTTGGTTCCTTCCGTTCTTCCTTTCTTCCGTTCTTTGTTCTTTTCTTGTCTTGTCTTTTCTTTTCCTTTCTTTTATGTTCTTTTCTTTGCTTTCTTTTCGTTATTTCTTTCTTTGGTTTTGCCCAAAGGCCATCGCCGCCTCCGGCAGAGTTCCCCGCTCTGCAAGAGCAGCACGCAGGACTCTCCTGGGCACAGCAACCTTTCTCCCATCAAAATCTAGGAATATAGTAGCCTGCGAGGGGTTTTCAGAGAAAAAACGTCTCCCTTCCTGGTCGATGCTACTACTTCAAGGACTAGTCTACAGTAGTAGTATTTCTCTTAGTCTCAAGCGCTAGCATCCAAAAGAATGAAGGGTGTCTTGAACTAGAAGAAAAGAAAAGCCCCTCCAAAAAATCGTGGCGACATATAGCTGTAGCTGCTTTCAAGAAGCTGCTGTGCTGTGCCGTTTGGAGCTGTGATGGTTGCTGCACGGCCATCGTGATTGGTGGCCTTGCAACAAATGATCTTCGGTGCAATATCTCTCTTAGCTCATGGTTTCATGATGGCCTCCACGATTGAAACCAAATTCAAGTTTGCCCACTGGCTCTGAATTCTGACAGCCTCGTGAGAAAAATCAACAATCCTGTGGGTCTAGGTCTCCAGCAACACCACCCAGTAGAGCCACAGAAAAAGCCTGGCACAACACTGTAAAACAGAATCGGGCATGGAACAAATCATGCCCATTATGAGAACTGAGAGTTGAAACTCATAGAACGCCTCAGGTGCAGCAGGCTTGAGGTATACTGAGCCTGGTTAGGACAAGACAACCAATACTTGGGGTTCATCCACTTCAACAGCTTCAATATTCAATGAGTGGACATGTCAACGGAATACTATGTTGCGACGAAACAAATTACGACGCTTCACAGACCAAGCAGGTGCCATTCCATTCTCATCCCTTTGTTCCTAGTAGCGTCCCTGTTCATAGTAGTAAGGCCAGGAGCTACTAGTAGCGTCCCTTTGCTCCTAGCTCCAAAGGAGTTTCGGTTCCAATCTCGGGCCATGGCCCATCCCCTCTCCACGAGCAAACCCGTCGGCCGAGGTATCGAAGGTCTTGCAATTTCCATCCATTGCAAGCCCTCGCATCTTTGCAAAGCCAACCTCAAAGCAATGCAAGTCAACAAGCCAAGGGACAAATGATAATTCTATACACACAAACCCTGCAAAATGGCGAAGCCATCTCTGAGTACTGTACCCAAATGGCCGCAGAGAGCTGTAAGTTCACACCGCTAGCTGCAGCAGATTTGCCTATACAGCCCAATCGCAAAGGATACCATGAGCACAACATGAGCCTCCAAATGTGCCATGCCACAACAGACCCCTATGTGCTTGGCAGTCTGCTGCTAGCCTGTATCACGATTCGCTGTGAGAACTGAGCTCTTCACAGCGACCCAACCGTATTGCTTGGCTGGCACAGTCAAGCGCAACAACCTAGGCAGGTTGAAGAAAGTCTGGACAAGCATGTTCTCCTTACACTAGGAGCAGTTTATCTTGCTAAATTGTTCACGTGCAATCAATCGATGGATACTATACTATAGTTGTGCATCCCGGTCTTTCTTGTGGTCTTGCGGTCTGCTTTGCAAATGCCTCTGCTAATCTGTGAAGGTTTGCGCCGGTTGCCTTGTTGCGATCTGTTGAGATTTCGGCGATCTGAACCTGCGCTACACTGCGATGCCCTGGAAGTGCCACCGAGCTAGGTGTGACTGACCCTCACTTGCACATCGCTACTAGGAGCAAGGACGGTAGTAGGGGCTCCTGGCATCGCTACTAGGAGCAAGAAGCTAGGAATGGGAGCGGTTGAGAATTTTGAAACTTGATTTGCCAGTCACTCGGAATGTGCTCTCCAACTTCTCTGGAATGTTCCTAATCGTTTCCCACATGACGGCATGGGTGTCAAACCTGACTGGAAGAAAAGAACGATAAGAACGATAAGAACCTGAACTAAATCCAAAACAAGAACCTTGTTCTTTCTCTTTTTTGAAGGGTCTGTGGTCTAGACCAGATACTTTATGCAGAAACGCAAAGCGTGTTCTTCAAGGAAGCTCGCACGTGATGATAGCATCCGAATCTGGTGGTTCAAAGGACCATACCAGAGCTCTGATGGCATGCACAATGTGGCAAATCCGGGCTGGCTTAAACGCACCAAAGCATTCTACAATGCATCTGCGCATCAAAAGAGACGATCTCATTCCATGAGCCCAGCCGATTTAAGAATTGCTACAGTACCTTTTCTTGGAAAGAACTCAGGCAGCTCACAAACACTCAGTGACGTACTGTTGCTGAGCAGGCCGTGTCCACAGTGAAGCAAGGTCCGCGCAGGGAGAGTGTGTGTGACACCCGGCCAGACAAGCCAGAATACGCATAACCTTGCTGAATCAAGGTAAAGCCACAAGAATGCAGCAAAGTGCAATCAAAACAAAACCCCTTGGGCTCCAGCCAATGTTTGTGAAAGGCCCAAAAGCGGGAATGTTCGGTTCGATCCCGCCAAGAGTTGCACAGCCAACATAAACGCCACACTCGAGGGCGTTCATCGACTCCTTTGTCAAGCCTTGCGTCAACAATGCGAGGAGAAAACCAACGAGGAAGAAGTGAGAGCAGCTGCGACTGTGAAGGCGAATCTGAGACTGGAAGGATGTTCAAAGTTCTTTCAGTGTACAACAAGAAAAAGGTTTGGAGATAGGGTCTAAGGCCAAAAAGCTTATGCCTCACTCTCTACCAGGACTCTACCAAGTCTCTGCCTCTGTTCCGCTCTCTCTCTCTCTCAATGCACATGCTCCATGAGGCTCTGCGCTGCCTGATGCGAACATACAGTCATAGGTGATCTCCAATGTAAGCCATTGATGCGGATCCTTAGAGTTCTTCTTTGAGCAGCTTTCATTCGATTTCTCCGTTCCTTTTGAAAACGGATTGGACGTTGTTTGTTTAGCTCACTGACAATTTCTGGCTCACTCCGTGCACTGAATCCGTCTTTCGTGCTGCTCAGAGCTGCCATCCCTCTCTGCTCCATTTCGCTGAGTCCAAAGAACTCTCCATCAAACTGCTCAATGCCAGGAATGAAATGTCCCAGCCTGGTCAAACTACTGCCTACATTGCATTCAGCTGAGATGTAACAAATTACAAATTGCAAGACATCCTATCTGCCTCAAGTAGGTCTTCCCAGGCGCATCAAAATCTGAATCATAGAAAGCATCCATGTCCCAACCTGGTAAGGATGAACAAACAGCAACGGGCCAATGGGCCCTTTGTTGGATATTTTTTATGAAGATTCTGAAAGTTGTCTCACATCACTAAGGCTGAAGGCCTAGCTGATTCTTGCTCCTAGTAGCGATGCCAGGAGCCCCTAGTAGCTTCTTGTTGCTAGTAGTAAGGCCAGGAGCCCCGAGTAGCGATGCCCTTGCTCCTAGTAGCATCACTAAGGCTGTGTTTTGTGGAATATCTTCAAAGTTGAAGGCCTAACTCAGTGCCACACGTTCTGGAGGCAGCTCTGCAGTCGTGTCCAAGCCATATGTCAAGGTATGCCAGAAGTCGCCTTCACTGTGTTGTCCAATATGGAAAATGCGCATTACTCTGGTTCAAAACAAGCACAACTCAATCGGCACACTCTGGGTGCTCCTGGATGATTCGAGAAGCTGCCAGGGAAACGTCCACTGTGACTGGCCAGCGCAAGCTGGTCACTGAAGCTGCCCACCTGGCCATGTTCCAAAGAACGCACGTTCTTTCAGAATCAGCACACCACTTTGATGACGGGGAAAACTCCCTGCCCCCACCACAGGCTCCTAATTCTACAAAAAGTAAGAACTCCTCCAGTCCTACAGCTTCCAGCTATCTGGAAGAAAACCATGTTTAGACCCTTATTCCTTCTTAAAAGGAATAAGAACCAGAATTGCTTTTTCAGGCAAAGTAAGGCATGAGGTTGAAGACTCGCCTGTAAAGCTTGAATGCCTTCTTCTTCTGCTGGCCCAACCTGCATGTTTGCTGTTTCTGGTTTGAAGTTGCATCCTTTTTGCAACATGAAGCACCACATGCCAATGTCTATCAGTCTATCAGCTCTGTGATTCTGCGTGAAGTGGCAAACGCCACTGGCGTATCTACAGGTCTCCATTTCTTTTACTTTGCTTTAAGTGCTTTTCTTTCGTTACAGTCTCTACTCGTGTCATTCCCCGCATGTCCACCTGGGACCAAATGTACTCCACCAAATCCGGCACCGTCGGATAGTCGAACATGAGAGTGGGTGTCAGATTGATGCCCTCCACAGCTCCCTGAGCTCAGCATGAAAAGCTTGAACACCGAAGAAACAAAAATCACTCAAATCAGTCAAAATTATTGATGAATCAATCATTGGTGTCAACGAAAGGGCTCAAGCACATCTCTTCCCTGCCTGCAGTCGGTTTCGAAACTCAACACCAGCCAAAGAGTCGAGGCCGAGCTCCATCAATGGCGTAGAAATGTCAAAGTCATCAGTTCCAAGAGCATCTGCCAACGACCCGACCACCAAAGACTTCACATCTTCCAATGTGTAATTTCCCAACACATTGCTGCTCGTGCTTTTTGCAACAGTAAACTTGCTCAAGAAAGGGGCTTGAGTTCCCAGTTGTCCAAGCAATGTGGCCCATTTGATGCGAGCCACACTAATGATGCCAGTCCGCAGGCTTGCAGACGCTGTCAAAATGGCAGACATGGCCTCCAATCCCTTTCTTGCCGAGATTCTCACAATACTTGACTCTGATGTGTTTGCCCGTGCAGCCATGCCCACCTCAGCCCATGGACCCCACTGAATACTCACGGCTTGTTGGCCGTTGTCACGCAAGAACGAAGCAAAGGAGTCCATGAAGGCATTGGCAGCGGAGTAGTTCGCTTGTGCTGGCGTTCCAAGCAGGGCAGCTACTGATGAGAATAAAGCAAATTGGCAATCCGAGTTTCGGCAGGCATCATGCAGGACAAGAGTTCCATAGGTTTTTGGCGCCAAGACTGGCGTCACATGCTTTGGTTGCAGATCAGCAACCATATGATCGTCAAGCACTCCTGCCGCATGGAGAATTCCTTTGATACCTCCATAATGGGTCTCAATCGCTTCAAAGACCTGAGCCACTTGAGCATCAGAGGTGATGTCAGCCTTGTGGACTGAGACTTTCGAAGCCAAGCGCCCGTAGGCTACTTGGCAATCCTGGGGAGGCTTTCCACTCCGAGAAATCAAAGCCACTTTTGCCCTTCGTTCACTTCGTTCCAGCAACCAGGAAGCGAAGGTCAATCCCAAACCACCTAGACCACCAGTGATGATGTAAGCCCCGCCTGCTGGCACCCACTGGCTCGTGGATTCCAGCTTTGCTTCTTGAAGACGAGGAACAAAAGGAACGAATGCGGCATCGCCTCCTTGACACGATCTCCGCAAAGCCACTTCAAGATCTCCTGAGGCTTCGGGCACTTGACAAAGCTCTTCAAGTCCCTGTGTGGCTCCCAAGTCAAAACACAAGACTTTCAGCGCTGGATTCTCATTGCGGAAAGCTCGAGCTAGACCCCAAAGTCCAGCATGTAATGGGCAAAACACACCAGACATATCACCAGCCCTCACTGCTTGAGTGTTGGATGTCGCCAGGATCAAGCACTGGAAATTAGGATGGTGAGATTTTCCCAAGGATTGCAACAATCTGACTGCAAAGAGCAAGTTGTCCACCAAAGAATCTCTCTTGCTGCTGTTGCTAAAACACAGTATCCATTCATAGCTATCAAGAGAACTTGTATCAACTTCTGCAGGCGTCAAGAACTTGACGTCCCTTGACGCATCACTTGACCAGAGTTTCTGAAGGGCACCTAAGGCTTGGTCAGTGTCGGCAAGAACAAGGCCATTACCCCGGCAATAGCTCCTTTTGAGCGGCTCCTCTGACCATTCGACTTCGTAGTATTTCTGTTCATCGTCTTTTTCACCCTGGGCTGAGATTGCCATCTGGATTTGCTCTGGCTTTACTGCTCTAAATACCACGTCCTCCATGTACAGTAGCACAGATCCATCATCAGCAGCTACTGTCACGTTGAAGGTTTGCGATGCTTCCAGGGACTCGGTAATCTTCATGTGCACCCAGTATCTTTCCAAGTTCGAGAAGTTTGCTCTCTTCACAATCGCCACTTTCCCAACCCCACCAAAAATTTTCAACCCAGCGACATTCTTTCCGATCGATGCAGTTGCAAGAATGTGAATAGTTCCATCCAGCAAAGCAGGATGTAAGATGTAACCTACATTCTTGACACCTGGATAGTCAAGTTGGAGCAGGCCCAATACTTCGTTGCATCCGTCCGTGTCTTCCACTTCCTTCCTCCAAAGCTTTTTAGCCACCTGAAACATCGGCCCCAAGTAAAGTCCAACTGAATTGATCGCCTCGTAGACCACTGATGTTTCGATGAGCTCACTGATGCGAGTTTGAAGCTCCTCGAGGTTAAGGTTTGCAGCGTTCGTGCTGACTGAGCCTTTGTCAGACTTTGACCCAAATTCCAACGACGCCTCCACATGAGTTGTCTTTTTTCCGTTTGCAATGCTTTGGATCTCAAAGCGATCGCCTTTCAACATGAATCGCATGATCGGAGGTGAACCTGCGTCTTCTGCAAAACGATTGGGTATCACAAACGGAAAAACCATCGTGACATCCTTCAAGGCCACATCATGACCAAACAGCTTTCGAGTAGCTTCCAACGCCATTTCAACATACACAACTCCTGGTGTGACAATCGATCCAAAAACGACATGATGAGAGACGATGTCATACACATCAGAGGACATGCTCACTTCAAAGTTTGAGTCTAACTGCGAACGAAGCAGTCGAAACCCAGCATCTCGCCAAGGAAAAGCTGTCTTGACATAGGTGGGAGGCCGTTGAAGTGTGATGAAATCCACAGGAACTTCTGATTCTCCCAGCAAACCATGCGCATTGGTTCCACCAAATCCGAAGGAGGAAAGTCCTCCTGTCCGACGCCCAGTGCCTAGAGGCACATGCTCATTTTGGAAAACCTGCAAGTGTCTGTGAGGAAGTATGAATTCAATTAATGGATACACGGACACACATTGACTCTTCACGTTTGCTGACAACAATCACAGCTTGCATTTACTGCTGCAGTTGTGTCGGTTCGGCATAAAAATCACACTGCAAACTGCCCTGCCTGTGGAACATCTTCTGAAGGGTCCAGGTGCGGGTTTAGGGAATACAAATGGACCACTGCAAATGCCTTGCAAGAGTCCAAGAGAAAACCTACTCTGACATTGGGAGAGTGTTTCTTCGTGGCACGAACTTGCAATTTGGCTCCCCTGGAACATCATCGACATTGAATAACCGCATGAATCATAACCAAACCTCTTTAGCTCAAAGCCCCAGGGCATGCCAGAACGAAAGGGCATAAGAAACTGTATGTAAGGTCGAACATAGAGCTGCGAAACAGCAATGAAGAGTGCACAACAATCAAATAAGTGCCTTGTGTGGAAATTCATCTATGTTGTATCTCAATGACATGCGATTGGGAAAACATCAGGCAAAAAAGAACTATAACTATAACTAATTCAGAGGGTATGGTCTCCTGTGGGTCCCTTGAAGAGGCCCGTGAAATCCCGTGAGGCCCGTTCACGTGTTGGTCTCGTGGGGCCCGTGGGGTGCCTGGAGCCCGTGGAGCTCGTGGAGTCCTTGTGGCCCGTGGAGCCCGTAAGGCCGTTGATGGAGACCGGGAAGTTTGGAAGTGCACGCACGTGTACCGTTAAAAAACATCGAAGCCCCGAAAAGCATACAAGGAGAACACAGCTTTTACCATCATAGCCACTGCAATCTCACGCAACTTCCCAGCTGCATAGCAACGCACAATGACAAGATCACCATCGCCTGCCGCTATTTAATAGCACGGACACAAGAGGCCACGGAAAGTATAGAAGGAGAACACAACTATAACAATCATAGCCATGGCGATGCCACGCAACTGCCCATCATCACAACAATGCGTAATGGCAAACTTACCTGCGGTTATTTCAAAACACAAACACAAGAAAAACTGGAACATGCCGGAACCAAAGCCACGAAAAAAACATACGAGGAGAAGACAACTATAATAGTCGCAGCCATGGCAGGCCCATGGAACTTCCCACCGCAACGCCTCCGCTGAGCCGCTATATGACAACAATGAGACCATACCTCTGAAGTCCGTGGCGGTCCGTGCACGGGGCCTGTGAGCGGGGCCGGCCCGTGAGGCCCGGTTGGCCCGTGGCTGTTGGGCCCATGGACGGTCCGTGGATGGGCCCGTGGGCCCGTGGACGGGCCAGCCCGTGGGCCTGTGAGGGCGGGCCCGTGACCCACCTCGGAACCATTTCAAGGTAGCATACCTTCGGCGGGCCACCTGACAAAAATTTGGAGGAGTAGCATACGTAGAACACCTTTTGTGAGCCAGTCAAGGCTACAGTTCCGAGCAAGAAGAAACCTTTGGTGGGCCACCTGATGGTAAAATCTAAAGGAGGAAAAAACAATTCTAAGGTGGCATACCTTTTGTAAGCCACCAGAGTGCAAATTTACAGGAGGAAGCAACCATTCCAACTAACGTAGCATGCCTTTGGTGGGCCACCTGAGGATTAAATTTAGAGGACGAAAGATCGTTTCCAAGGTAGCACAGCCTGGTGGTGGACCACCTGAGGATAAAACTTCGAGGAGGAAAGACTCATTCCAACGAAGCAAAATGCAGGGCAGGAAGGAGCCACAAGTCCCCAAGTTTGTCGCTGTGTGCGCAAGTGAGTCGCTGGGTGCACAAGTGAGGTGAGTTAACTTTGGCATGCGCAAGTGAGCGGGGCGCCCGATAAAGATACAGCACATATATGTTCATCAACGGTGCCGCGTTGTCCACTTTTTAAGATGTGATTGTTTTGAACACCGTGTTTGAAGTATCTGTTCAAACAAGCTCGAGGCACAGATCTTCGACTCAGCAGCGTCACAGTCTTGAGTAGGCCAGGTGATGCGGCAGCTCCCTCACCAAGACGAGAAATCTGTGCAAATTTTGACATCAACTTCCAACATTCAATCATAGGCATGGGTTCCAGCTTAGTTCAGGGAATGATGCTGCGTGTCCACCCGCGTTTCATTGCTGCCTCCAAATGCCCAACAGATGTCTTCACTGCAGAAACTGCCAGCGACTGCTGTCGGCGCCCCTCTTGCAGGGAGGCGGCCCTGCTACCAGCTTGCAGCGCGCCAACTTCAATTGGATCGCCCAGAGGGGTGCCAGTGCCATGGCATTCCATGTGTAACACCTCCACCGGCCAAGCTGGGAAATTGATAATGGCATTCAACTTGAACCTTGAAGTGATGCTATTACGTTGGAGGCCATCGAAATTAGGTTGGAGGCCATCGTTATTAGGTCGGAGGCCATCACTATTAGGTTGGAGGCCGTCGCTAGTAGGTTGCTAGTAGGTTGGAGGCAATTGCTAGTAGGTTGGAGTCCATTGCTAGTAGGTTGGACAGCTTTTCAATGCACGCAGAGGTGCAACGCATTGCGTTTCGCCTCATGATGATTCATTTTGGCTTCCGCCAGCGCCACTTGGACGACCAAAGTCTGAGAGGGTCCATTGGGCGCTGTCATCGTCGAGCTCCGCCCATCCTGGTTCACAGCAATGCCCCGTAGAGCAGCCTCGAAGCGAATAGACAGGCAAACAAACCGAACAACTATGGACAATGTTGAAAGAGAAGCGGGCTTGAGACCAGAGAGCAGAATCAAAAGAGTCAAGACGTCGAAGCAGGGACCTCTATTCCTGGCAATGGTTTTGGACCCTTTTCTCAGACCTTATTAATCTTATATTATATATATACATATACACACACACTAGTCATGCGAGCGAACATGTGTATGGAGGGAAGAGATGCAGAGCCTCTAACCGAGATACCTCTTTGTAAGCCATCTCTCGCCCTAGAAACGGATCCAAACCACTCTCCAAAGCCAATCGCGGTACAGTAGTGGTTCCCTTTGGGTGATGCTATTTTGAGCCGCAGCCCCTTATGCACTTCTTTCATCTGTTTTCCAACTCAGCACATGAAGCGTCCTCACAAGACTACACCAGCAGAACCAGCTGCTAACACTTTCGCACACAAGCTCTGCACAAAGCTTGGTCAACATGCTGCACGCAACCCTAGCCCACCCCACCCCACTCCAGATACTCGCAAGGCGGACAAAGCCCAAACAAGGCATAAGCAAAAAAACGTGCCACACCTCCGTGAAGAAGCTCAGACCTCTTCCACTGACATACTAGATTCTAACCCCAAGTTCTGGCACAAAGTTTGTATTCTATTTGCGAAACACCCACACACAGTCTTTGTATCACCTGAACCCAGCTGGAGAAGCGGAGAAACTACAGAAGTCACAGCTGTCCTCGCTGCATGAAGGAATTCAGAAAGCAAGACAAGAAGTGAGACAAAGAATGACCTAATCACAAGATTGTGACCAAACAAGAGGTCTTCTTGACTATATCTACTCCTGATTTTGTTGCGTGATGTAGCGTGCCTCAGAATCTTCTACGGTGGACTATAGTAAACATAAAGCCCACGAGGATTCCGCGTTGAAAAAGAGTTACTCTTGAAGGCCCTTACGTCCAAATGGAAAGGTTGACTTGCCATTCAACCCAACAAAGCTTTTCATGTGCCAAACTGGCGATGTAGGTTCTAGACACAAAGCGTCACTTCCGTGTGAGCCCCTGACTGCCGCGCTCCTTTTTGGATGGATGTGCCACGGCAGCTCAACAGGCGCTGTATGCCTGGTGCTGCCAGCTGGTTGTTGTAAAAAAGAATCCTCTTGAGCCCGACCTTCGGTCGTTCGCAGCCGTGTCATTGCGTACACACTGGTGTCCTTCACGACACAAAGCGTCACTTCCGTGTGAGCCTCTGACTGCCGCGCTCCTTTTTGGATGGATGTGCCACGGCAGCTCAACAGGCGCTGTATGCCATGTCGGCCGCCGTCCCCCGTGGCACCCGGCCGAAACTCGTGGCAAGTGCGGCTCCTATGCTCATGGCCTCGTCCATCGACTTGGTGGCTCGAGCCAATGTCTTGTAAAGCCAGTGCCAATCGAATTCCACCGGCGTCCATTGGAGCTGGTGTGCCATTGAAAGATCGTCACGGCGTCAGAAATGTTGGCCTCCGAGGTGACTCGCTCCCAATGTGGGCTTCAGCCATCGACAAAGCGCCACAGCAGTCCCAAGAGTCTGTTGACCTTGGCGTCCTTGCCGAAGCCCTTCTGCAAGGCGAACTTGCCTGGCTCGTTGTCGATGAAGCACAGGCTCAGAGGCTCCATCAGGGCCATGCCGGAGACGATGCACATGATCTGCGCCAAGATCTCTAGGGCGTAGATGAATGCCCTGCGTGAGGTGAATCGATCCAGTAGGGCTCCTGGGATTTCACCATGTGCGTAATGGCATCGGCCGCACGGTTCGTGAAGGACGAATCCCCAACCGTTCTTCATTAGGTGGGTCGCATCGTTTTTTAGCCGCTGTGGTCCAGCGCCGTCCGAATCGACAGTCTCTCGTCCCCCGCCTGAAAGAAGGCGTCAGCATAAATGACAGTGCAGGGTTGGTATTGAAACCGAAACACCCTTTGGTTTGGCAATGGGCAAAATGTGTAGCAGTGTGATCAATGAGTCTGTGATGCCCTCGCCCAGGGGGGGTTGTGCGTGCTGTGTGGGTGCAGCTGCGCGTGCATACAGTGTTTGGAGGCAGCATCGTATGGTCTGCGACATCATCGCTTCTGAGATGAATTGCAGTTTCCCGGCCAGTCTTTTGGCCTCGTCCGAAGACATGGTGCCTCTCTGAAGGTGCTCCTCCAGTTGTGCTGTGATTCGATGCATGCGTGCCTGTTCTGTGCGCACGGTGAACGTTGACAAGTCGATGCTCATGATGACACCCTGTATGAGTTGCGTTGACGCTGGTGGTTGGTCTTTGCTTGGCTTGAACCTGAAGCCAACAGTCTTCATGAGGTGCTGCACGCACTGAAAGCCTGATTGAATCGAACATTCGGGTTCGATGGATGCATAGTCATCCACGTAGTGTACCATGGGTGACAGTGTCAGTGCCCGACAGAGCCAACATATCATGTCCGCCGTGCGGGTGTACGACCACACGGATGCGGTGCTTCCGAGAAGCAAACACCTGTGTTTCCATAGTGTCCATCCCCCGGGGATTCGGACCAACACGTGGGTGTGGTCTGGCTCGGCGACCGGAAGTTGCTATAGGCTGATTCATGGTCTGCTCCCCAAAGGTGGGTCGTGAATCCATGACTCTTGAATTCATTGGCCACCGCTATGAAGGTGTTGAGCTATCTCGCAGGCGTCTTTGAGTGTCAGCCAACTATCAGCTAGGGCCATCGTGACAGCTATCGGCAATGCACAGTGGGTGCGATTCACAAAACAAGGGTCGAAGCGATGCTCGTCCGGCGATCGATCGTACGGCTGAAACCAAGACACCGAAGCTAAGCTCTTTGCTCTGTCCTTTCAAGTCCGGGTCGTCTCAGAGTGGAATTCCGACATGACCTGTCACCATTTTCATACCCTTCCAAGTCACGGTCGGTCACACTCATGTTAACTCAAACTTAAGGTCAGGCTACGACGGGCAGTCTCGAGGTCGTCGGCATTCTGGGTCGCCAAGGCCGTCATGGCGTCACTGATGGCATTGTTCATGCGTGTCCGTCGGGTCAAAGAAGCGCGCCCGATGAGGTGAGCGTCTTCCAGGTAGGCACTCAAACTGGAGAACATAAATTCGATGCCCCAGGAATTGGTCAGCTGTGCTCCCCGGCGCCAGCGGCGTGCTACCGGCACACAACGGGATGCGCCGTCCAGCCATGTCTCCAGCTGGTGAGTTGTCCACGATCCGAAAACTTCCAGGAGCGGCTTGGGCACCGTGCCCGGCGGGCTGTAGAACTCGCCGATGTATTTCACCAGCCTCATGCCATGAATGGGGACTTCATCCGCCACATCTCGAGCTAGCGTCACCGCAGCTAGCGCAATCGGAACCACTCCATCATGTATTGGGATCGACTGAGGTTCCAAAGGCACTGCAGGATGTCATACACGCCGTCCCATTCGGCGTCGTAGCGGCGTCCCCACGCCACAAGCCACTTAGCCATCTCTAAGGGATCTTGGTCCATCTTGGGACGTGTCCACGTCAAAAATTCCTCTTGAGCCCGACCTTCGGTCGTTCGCAGCCGTGTCATTGCGTACACCTCTGGCGTCCTTCACAACGAAAGCCAGCGCTTCCCTTTCTCGACAACTGCGCGTCGAAGCAATCAAATGAGCTCGCGCAGCCGCTTGCGGCCGCGTGTCAAATCTGCTTCATGTCTTGTTCTGCCCACACATAGGTAACCATGTCAAAACAAAAACAATGCACCCTTTTGTTCAAACAAACAGTTTTTCAAGCTAAATTCAAGGTGGCCTGAGACCAGGGTTTGCTGCCCTAAAACACTCTGTTCAGGCCACCTTCAAAATGACGGTCTGCGAAGCGAGAGCAGAGGATGCATGTTGTCCTTCTGCTGCTTGAATGTGACATATACCCTTCAATAGGAACTCGAACAGCTCAAATCCAGAAGATTCTGAAAATGGCCTGGCTCCCTATATGAACCCTGGGAAGACTGGGAAGCGAGGAGGTGGAAACTCCCTTGCTCTCGCTTCGCAGACCTTCATTTTCAAGGTGGCCTGAACAGAGTGTTTTAGGGCAGCAAACCCTGGTCTCAGGAAACCACAGCTTTGAAGCCTCATGCGCGCGATACCTGGGAACAGAATTGTAGCTACCCTGGGTCCGTATAAATACTGCGTTGCTATACCTCTTGCACACCTATACAAGTTCAAAGCACGAATGAGACTTCAAAGCTGTGGA